TAAATTCTGCCTATCCGGTAAGACCACCATGTGTATTTCTTTTTAAATATGTTTTTATTGATTTTTTTTGAGAGAGAGGAAGGGAGAGAGAGATTGAAACATCGATGTGAAGAGGGTGGTGGGGGACAGATAAACCACAGAACTTATATGCATGTGTGCATGAACAATGGACATGGACAACAAAGCTGGGGACAGGGCGGGGAGGTAGGAGGAGGGGGGAATCGGTGAGGGAAAAAGGAGAAACATCTGTAACAAAATTTAATTAATTAATTTAATTAAATAACAAAAAAAATTGATGTGAGAGAGATACATCAACCAGCTGTCTCCTGCATGTCCCCCACTGGGGATTGAGCTTGAAACCTGGGCATGTGCCCTGATCAGGAATAGAACCACTGGACGACACTCAATCCACTAAGCCATACTAGCCGGGCTAGATGCTAAAATTCTTATAAGAAGGACTCAGTTTGTCTTTGTATTTCTTATAACATCTATCTTCAAATCTTAGAGTATTCATTTATTGAATGAATAAATAAGGGAATGTACTTGGTAAAGTATATAACAACCTTTCAGAAGAGAAGCTTCAGAGTGTAAAGCTCAGAGAATTACTTAAAAGCATATCACATCCTTCTATAAAAATTAAAATGATTCTAAGGAATAAATTGATTTGCCAGGTGGCCCTCTTTCAGAGAGAGAGAGAGAGAGAGAGAGAGAGAGAGAGAGAACCTTCTGAAGCTCTGAGGAATAGTCTACCAGAGGCAACTTCCTATTTGCCAGGGACAACGTCCTATAGTTGGCACTTTGTGGGTATAATGTAGAGCCTCTCTAGATGACAAACCTATTCTGAATTTTTTTCCTTTGGCACAAGTTTGGGTCAGTGAATAAACTAAGGGTTTATTGGGGGAATAATTTATTAATGGAATTATTTGACCTCATTGATGAGGGTGAAAAGTGTTTGTTCATACAGCCTTATGTCTCAGATCAGAGAAAATCTAGGAAGAGAGTAACCCAAATGTTATAAAGTTACATGGTAGGGAGCCAAACCTAGCTTTGAAGTCAGGAGAATCAGGCAGACTGGAAACAGACTGGAACACCAACACTACTTTCCCGCTGGGCAGGTTCCTCAAAGATCTGAGGAACATCAAAAATCTAAGTATTTAATAACTCCTGTTGAACATTTTTAAAAAACCTAAGTCTTTCAGGCATAGATTCATTTTGATTAGCTAGTTGTTCACGTGGTCATCTCTGAGACAGTGGGACATAGGCAATATGTGTTTTGATTATAAAGAGGAAGCAGGAAAGGTCTAGAGCAGCGGTTCTCAACCTGTGGGCCGTGACCCCTTTGGGGGTCGAATGACCTTTTCACAGGGGTCACCTAAGACTATCGGAAAACACATATTTCCAATGGCGATTCATAACGGTAGCAAAATTACAGTTATGAAGTAGCAATGAAAACAATTTTATAGTTGGGGGTCACCACAACATGAGTAACTGTATTAAAGGTTTGCAGCATTAGGAAGGTTGAGAACCACTGGTCTCGCGCAAGTTCTCTGAAATTGTGCATCAAATTGCATGTCTTTGTGCATTTTCCTTAGCTTTCACCAAGCAGTCAGAGTGGGCTGAATGTCAAGATGGCTGGGAACAGCGGTTCCTTAACCCAGTCTTAGCTGAATCAGAATTCAGGGGCCTTTAAACACACAGATCCTACCCCTGGCGATTCTGATTGAGTACCTTGGGGTGTGGTCCCAAATCTGTATTTTTAACATGCTTCCAAGGTTGCATGCATGGGCAGCCCTGTGTGGATCCACCGAGGGCTACTTGTGAACAATTGAAAACTCACTCAAGCACCCTCCATTTAAGTACCTCACAAATAGATGATCCTCTCCTCTCTCTGAACAGTTCCCACAGCATGCCGATCACTCCCTGGTTGCAGATAGACCGTGCTCTGTGTGCCGGTAGACCTCATTTCCCACCAGTGGAGTTGTAGTACCAAGACTCAAGTGTGTGTGTTCACAAGCCTGTTAGGCCAGTCACCAGTTTTATTTTAATTAAAAATGTGCAGACAACATAAACATGAGTGTAAAGAAATAAAATTGTAGTTCAAATGAGAACTGTGTTGAATGCTTTTGAAAGACTTGCTAAAAGACAAATTGCTAAAAATAAAATAAAACGTTGCTGTTGAATTAGGTGTAGGCAAAACAACTGGAAAAAAAGTTTTTTGTTTGTTTTTATCTTTATTTAAAAAATTTTTTTATCCTTACCTGAGGACATTTTTCCCCCCTTTTTTTTTGTTCAGACAGAGTGGGAGGGAGAGAGAGGGAGAGAAACATTGATGTGAAAGGGACACATCAAGTGGCTGCCACCTGCACGACCCAAGCAGGGCTGGGGACAAACTGCAACCGAGGTACATGCCCGTAGTGGGGACTGAACCAAGGTCTCTTGGGACCGCAGGCCGACACTCTAACTGCTGAGCCAAACCAGCCAGGGCGAAAAAATGTTTTTAACATTGTATATTATGTTGTTTTTGCAAGTGTCTTTAAATTCTCAGTGTATTTAAAAACAGTGGTTCTCAACTGGGCGTGGTTTTGCCCCCCAGAAGACATTTAGACTGTCATTTTTGGCCAATGGAGAGATAATATGGATGCTGCTAAACATCCTACAGACAATAGCAAAGAATGATCTGGTCCCAAATGTAAATAGAGGTTGAAAAATCCTACTTTAAAGAAACCATCACAGGAAATCCCAGGAGATTTATTTATGAGTTTTGCAGTAATAACCCACAGAATTCTAATTAGTTGAAACTTTCAAAGAAAAGGTCTTATCTCTTGTATTAAGGTTAGATTCAGCTACAAGTAACGAAGACTCAAAATAACAGTGCCTAGTGCTGCCTTCCTGGGATGTGGCCTTTGTCCTGGTCTGAAGGTTAGTGCTCCGTGTGCTCAGGAGCAGGATGAAGGAATGGACAAAGAAGAATACAAATTGGGGTGGGGGGAGCAGAAGACAGGTAACAGTTTTTTTAAAAAAAACCTAAGGTTTCTGCCCTGGCCGGTTTGGCTCAGCAGTTTGAGCGTCGGCCCACGAACCAGAGACCCGGGTTTGGTTCCTGCTAAGGGCACGTACCTCGGTTGCAGTTTGTCCCTGGCCCCGGTTGGGGTCGTGTGGGTGGCAGTCACTCGATGTGTCTCTCTCACATTGATGTTTCTCTCTCATCCTCCCTCTCTCCCTCCTGCTCTATCTGAAGATAAATGCAAAAATGTCCTTGGATGAGGATAAAAATACATACATACATACTACTGAGGTTCCCAGCAGCTACTGCACAATAATTTCACAAATATCCTATTGGCCTGACCTTAATCATATGGCCATACCTAGCATTACAGATGACCAAATGCATTGCTATTTATTGTTTTACATCAAAAGATGGGCGGTTTTGTTTCCATTTAGGTTTTAGGATACAATGTTTAGAGTATGTATTGTTTTTTGTTATTGCTTCCTTGCTATAATTTACTTTTTCAATTAAATGACCAGCTACCCCTTGTGCCAATCTCATTGGACAAAAGGGCATCTGCTCTGCCTATGAGAGCAGCTCAGACGGCATCATCTTAGTGAGCTGGGCACAGCAAGAACACAGCATGTTCCTCAGTGAAGCATGACATGCTGAACAGGGGATAGAAAAGGCCAACGAAACCTCTTGGACTTCAAAGTTTGGCCCATGGCCAGCCCTGCTTAGGTCTTTATAAATCCAGATAGCATCAATAGAAAGGTACATGTCATTTATTCAGTGTTAAAATGGGTGATTTATTTTACTCTGAAGTAAGAAAAAGTGATCCCATCATTTACTAAACAAACAAAATACCTTAAGTTTTGGGGAATCAGAAGTTTTATGTGGATGTTTTACTGCATGCAGGGTTTGTGACCCTAACCCCCGTGCATTGTCCAAGGGTCAACTGTGTATATACCTGTATGACTATAAAACAGAAATGCAGCAGGCCATATATTCAACCTTTTGTTAAAGTGGGATTCTGCACACTATACTCAGATCACTGTGACCAGTTCTAGTCCTGACCTTGCTGGACACTAGTTGCTAAAAGCAAGACATATCACCTTTCTGGCCTCAATTCCATCAAATCAGAGGCTTGAGTTCATGATCCTATATCAATTTCTTCAGGCCGCTGTGATCAAGTACCACAAACTGGGGTGGTTTAAACAACAGAAATGGCTTGTCTCAGGGTTCTAGAGGCTAGAAGTCCAAAATCAAGGTGTTGGCAGGGTTGGTTCCTTCCAAGGGCTGTGAGGGAGAATCTGTTCCACGTCTCTCCCAGTATCTGTAGCCTCAGGCATCCCTTTGCTTGTAAATGGTGTCCTCTCAGGCTTCACGTGATTTTCCCTTGGTTCGTGACTCTGTCCAAATTTTCCCTTTTTATAAGGGCATCATCATGTTGGATTGGGCCACTCTAATGACCTCATTTTAAGTTGATTACTGGATAAAGACCCTATTTCCAAATAAGGTCACATTCTGAGGTACTGGCGTTAGAACTTTAATGTATCTTTTTGGGGAGGACACAATTCAACCATAATAACTCCTAAGGTCCAGTTTTGAACCTGATGCTTTCTTTAGTGCTGGTGGTTAAACGCCAGTTTCTAAAAAAGTCTGGACTAAAAGATTTGATTCCTGAGAGTGTCTCAGCGTTATGCCAAGGGATTAAGGTGGAATGTAATAAACATCCACATGGAGGTAGTTTGAAGTGAAAATTATGAAGCCAGAGGATAATAAAGTAGACAAGGTGGACTTTCATTTAAAAATCAGCAGAACGAATCTTCCTCGGAGAACCTTTTCTTACACAGTAAGTATTGAACCACTGTTTTAACATTGCATCTGATTTTTTTGCATTAGAAAAATCATCTGTGTGTGTGTAAAATGGAAACATTTTTCTAGGGCGTTTCTAGGAAATCTAGGTGTTTCAAGTTGTTCTCTAATTTCTGCCTTCCTTTTCCCTTTCTAGCCAAAGTGTGATCAATATAAATTACCAGGATGTCCAAGAGACTTTAGCCCTGTATGTGGAAGCGACATGTCCACTTATCCCAACGAGTGTACTCTGTGCATGAAAATCAGGTAACAGATTTTTACAGTGTAGAATAGCCACATTTCCTTTAGTCCTTGAATTTTGATTATTTAAGAAGTAGTGGCTCTTTTCTTGCATATAAGAATCACATACGATACAAATAGTTCTGTTTTCAGACTGACATTTAAGAATGCACAGAATCCTTCAATGCATTTTTCAGGTTAAAGTTGAAGAATGACGTGTGCAACTGTGGACCACATAATTGAGTTTTGTTATTCTCCATGGATGGGCAGTTATCTGAAATTAAGAGTATATTTAGCCCTGGCCCATGTGGCTCAGTAGTTAGAGTGTCTGCCTATGCACTGAAGGGTCACAGGCTTGATTCCCGGTCAAGGGCATGTACCTGGGTTGCAGGTTCAATCCCTGGCCCCGGTTGGGGTGAGCATGGGAGGCAACCAATCAATGTGGGAACACATCGATGGTTTTCTCTCTCTCTCTCTCTCTCTCACACCCTTCTTCCCTCCCTTCCACTCTCTCTAAAAATTAATGAAAAAAATATCCTCAGGATTAACAACAACAAAAAAGTATATTTAATAGTTAAACTCTGTGAAATATTAAATGTTTTAAATTCAGAGGGCATGTGCTGGTGGTGGCCTGTATACTCTGCAGCATTAGTTGGGAACTACATCGTAATAACTCTACCTAGAGGATGCTAAATAATAAATGTATTACACCTGATGCCTTTCATATGCCACACCTGGCTAAGTGATTGTGACTCCTCATCCAGGTATGCTGTCTTGTATTCCAGGGTCCATTCTCGGACCTCAGTGTTCAGTGAGCTACCTAGATCTTCTCAAGTGATTCTTTGGGGCTAGCGCCCTGTGCCCTATGGTTAGAGAAAATGTGGCAGAGTTGGGGCCTTCACCGTCATTGTTTTCTTCATTTAGCTTTTTTTTTTTTCTTTATTGATTTTAGAGAGAGAGGAAGGGAGAGGAGAGAGAGAAACATCGATGAAAGACAACTTCGATTGGCCACCTCCTGCACGCCCCCCAGTAGGAATTTGGCCCACAACCTGGGCATGTGCCCTGACCGGGAATCGAACTGGCAGCCTCTTGGTGCATGGGTTGATGCTCAACCACTGAGCCACACCAGCCAGGCTCTTCATTTAGCTTTAAAAATGATTAAATAAACATCACTCAAGAAGGAATGTAATATACAATGACATGGCTCTTTTTGATACAAATACTGGGACAGTGTCAGTATGGTGGGTAATAAATGTGTTTTTGTCTTTGTTCAATTTGCAGGGAAGATGGGCATGATATAAAAATAATCCGAGATGGACCGTGCTGATTGTGCAGTTTACAGAAGAGAAATTGGAGAAACCACCTTCAACTACACACTAGATGAATTTAACTTTCCCTTTTTCTCTTTTCCAATGTTTGTTTGCATGAGATTTGTTAATCCACTTTTTCTGAGAGAAGATGTGGAAGACAACCATGTGCAGTAACTGATGATTAAAACAAAAAACAAAACAAAATTCTTATTTCTTGGCTTTTGCCCCTTGAGTTAAGCTTATTGCCCAGATGACTTGTGCATTACTTTATTTAGTTGGAATAAAACAAGCATTGTTCAATTACTGCTGTTCTCTGTTAAATATCCATCCTCACTCAGCAGCCTCTGGATGGCTTTTTTCCTCTCAGGCAAAGGTGAATTTCACTTTGGGAGAAGTGGAGTCATTATTAAGAGCCAAGACTTATTCTAATCCACTATTTCCCTGGATCTTGGACAGGTATATGTAACCAGTGCAGTGTTCTGCATATGGCGAATGACTGTGAAATACTTGGAGGTGACTTTAGCCTGAGCTGGTCAAGTCAGAGAACTATGCAAGTAAAAATATTTACCAGATTCAATATCTCCTTTCCATACAGCGTCCCTTCTGGGCTATTGCAGGCATTTGGCTTGTCCTCTTTAGAGCAGTGCTTCTTAACCCCAGGGTGACCTTGCCCCCAGGGGACATTTGGCAGTGTGTCTGGAGGCCTTTTTGGTGTCACATCTGGAGGGTGGATGCCACTGGCGTCTAGTGGGTGGAGGCCGCTGACACTGCCAGACATCCCACAACATACGGGACTGCTCCAAACGCACTTTTCTGTCTAAAGTGTCAGTAGTGCTGAGGTTGAGACACCCTGTTATAGAGCTCGATACAACATAGAGAATAAACAAAACAATAATAGAAGTAACCAGGGATTAATACTAATGTGTTTCAGGTAGAGGATTTTGAGTCCAGTCCTGGGTTTGAGTGTATTATAGCCCCAGGAAACCATGAGACAGGAGGTAAGAGGTGTCTGGGAGAGTGTGCAGTGGAAACAACATGGCTTTGGGGGTCACCTAAACTTGAGTTCGAATTCTGATTCCAACACTTGTGTTTCAGTTTTCTTCTCTGGAAAATGGGGATAATACTCAACTCATGGAGCTGTCGTGAAGAAACTGCTTAGCACAGTGCTTAGCACATAGAAATCACTGAAATAGTACCTACTGTGATTTTATGCACCCTTCTTAGAAAGAAGCTGAAGCCCACAGAGACAAACCAACTCCCCCAAGCTTATGGAACACATTTGAAGTAGCCTGGACTAGAGCCTGGGTCTCCAAATTCCCAGACCTCTGTTCTTACAGGGAATAGAGGCAATGAAGTAGGAAGTTGTATAACATAAATGTGTCAAATTAATGTCCTGCAGTTATTTATTTTTATTTTTCAATTATAGTTTACTGTCAATATTATTTTATATTGGTTTCAGGTTCCTGTAGTTGTTTTTGGCTTAAAAGTTTTACAAAGTAGGATATGCTTTTTTGGAAAATTAAAAAATAAACAGAAGTATACAAAAATAAAAGGTGAAAGTCTTGCCCCTTCTGGCCTCCAGAGGTGACCAATAGTAAGCTTTTGGAGCATAGTCTCTTTTTCGCTCTTCCTTAGAATGTGTGTGTGTATAAAAACTCTCTCTCTCTCTCTCTCTCTCTCTCTCTCTCTCACCTGCCTTGTAAACTTACTTTTCTTCCTGTACTTGGGTTTTCACATGAAGAGATGTAGTTTCTTTCTTTATGTTACAGATGTTTCTCCTTTTTACCCCCTAGACATCCTCCTCCTGATTCTGCACCCCCATCATTGTTGTCTATGTCCATTGGTTATGCATATATGCATATAAGTTCTTTGGTTTATCTCTTTCCTCGTCCCTGCGCCCCTCCTTTAAGGTTTATCAGTCTCAATCCTACTACTTTTGATGTCTCTGTGTCTATTTTGTTCATCAGCTTATTTTGTTCATTATATTCCACAAATAAGTGAGATCATGTGGTATTTATCTTTTTCTGCTTGGCTTGTTTCTCTTAGGATAATACTCTCCAGATCCTTCCCTGTTGTCTCAAAGGATAAGAGATCTTTCTTTCTTACAGCTGCATAGTATTCCATTCAGTATATGTACCACAGCTTTTTTATCCACTCATCTATATTGATGGAATTTTCAGTAAAACTCCCCTATGAAGCAGTCTGGGCCTGGGCTTTTGTTTGCTGGGAGATTCTTGATTACATCTTCAATTTCCTTAGTTGTTATTGGTCTGTTCAAATTTTCTGTCTCTTCCAGGTTCAGTTTTGGGAGACTATGTGATTCTAGAAATTTGTCCATTTCACTTAGATTGTCCAATTTTGTTGGCATATAATTGTTCATAGTATCTTTAACAATCTTTTGTATTTCTGTGGTGTCAGTTGTTACTTCTCTTTTATTTCTGATTTTGTTTATTTGGGTCCTCTCTTTTTGTTTCTTGGTGAGTCTAGCTAAGGGTCCATCAATCTTGTTTCTCTTTTCAAAGAACCAGCTCTTTATTTCATTGATCTTTAGAATTGTTTTTTTGGTCTCTATGTCATTTATTTCTGCTCTGACCTTTTCTATTTCTTTTCTTCCACTTGCTCTGGGTTTTTCTTTTTGTTTGCTTTCTAGTTTTTTTTTTTTTTTTTATCCTCACCCGAGGATATTTTTCCATTTTTTATACAGATAGAATGGGAGGGAAAGAGAGGAAGGGAGAGAGAGAGAGAAACATCGACATGAAGGGACACATCGAGTGGCTGCCACCTGCACGACCAACCAGGGCCGGGGACAAACTGCAACCGAAGTACGTGCCCTTAGCGGGAACCAAACCCGGGTCTCTCCGGACCGCAGGCCGATGCTCTAACCGCTGAGCCAAACTGGCCAGGGCTGCTTTCTAGTTTTTTAAGTTGTGAGGTTAGATAGTCAATTAGAAATTTTTCTTGTTTCTTGAGATAGGCCTGCAGTGCTATGAACTTCCCTCTCAGGACTGCTTTTGCTACTTCCCATAAATTTTGTGTTGTGTGTTTGTTTTCCTTGGTTTCCAGAAAGTTTTTAATTTCTTCCTTGATCTCCTTGTAACCCATTCATTGTTTAATAACATGCTATTTAGCCTCCATGTGTTTGAATATTTTTGAATGTTTTTATTGTAATTGATTTCTAGATTTCATGCCATTGTGATCTGAGAAGATGCTTGATGTGATTTCAGTCTTCTTGAACTTGTAGAGACTTACTTTCTGTTCTAACATGTGGTCTATCTTTGAGAATGTCCCACGTGCAGTGGAGAAGAATATGAAATCTGCAGTTTGGGGATGTAATTCTTTGTGGATATCCATTAAATTCATTTGATCTAGTGCATCGTTTAGAGTCTCTGTTGCCTTTTTAATTTTTTGTCTAGAGAATCTATCCAGTGATGTTGGCAGGGTGTTAAAGTCTCCTGCTATAATTGTATTGCTGTCAATTTCTCCTTTGAAGTCCTCCAGAAGTTTTTAAATGTATTTGGTGCTCCTATATTGGGTGCATATATGTTTACCAAGGTTATATTCTCCTGTTGGATAGATACTTTCAATATTATGTAATGGCCTTCTTTGTCTCCAGTTATGGCCTTCAGTTTGAATTCTGTTTTATTGCATATGAGTATTGCTACCCTAGTTTTTTTTCCCTTTCTATTTGCTTGGAAAAATTTTTTTCCATCCCTTGACTTTCAACTTATGTGAGTCTTTGTTTTTTAATCCTCACCTGAGAATATTTTTCCATTTATCTTCAGATAGAGAGGGAGGGAGGGAGAGAGGGAGAGGGAGAGAGAAAGAAACATCAACCAAAGGACACATTGACTGGTTGCTTCCCACGTGACCCTGACTGGGGCTGGGGAGTAATTGCAACTGAGGTATGTGCCCTTGACTGGAATTGAACCCACATCTCATTGTTCTATGAACTGATGCTCTAACCACTAAGCCAAACCAGCCAGGCTGATGTGAGTCTTTTGTTGTGAGATGGGTCTCTTGTAAACAATATATATATGAATCATGTTTGGGTTCTTCTTACTTGGGGCTCTCTGTGCTTCTCGAACTTGTATGCTTTTTTTTTCCCCCCACCAAGTTAAGGAAGTTTTCTGTCAGTATTCCTTCAAATATATTCTCTAACCCTTGTTCATTTTCTTCTTCTGGAACTCCTATCATGCGGATGTTGTCATGTTTGCAGTTGTCCCACAGTTCTCTTAAGCTGTCTTCCTGTTTAAAAAAATAATTAAAAAAAAAATCCTCACCCTAGGATATTTTTCCATTTATTTTCAGATAGAGTGGAAGGGAGGAAGAGAGAGACAGACAGGGAAATACTGATGTAAGAGAGATACATCTATTGGTTGCACTACCCCAACAGGGGCTGGGGACCGAACCTGCAACCCAGGTACATCCCTTGACCAGATTCGAACCCAAGACTCTTTGATCTATGGGCCGATGCTCTAACTGCTGAGCCAAATACAGGGCTGTCTTCCTGTTTTTTCTTTTTGGTTCTCTGTTTGGGTGATTTTTTTCTACCCTGTCTTCTAATTCACTGATCCGATCCTTGGCTTTCTCTACTCTGCTGGTTATTTCTTCCAATGTGTTCTTTATTTCTGCTATGTTATTCTTCATTTCCGCTTGGTGGTTTTTCACTTCCAATTGGTTGACTTCCAATATTTCTATACCTTTACTCTTGCTGTTGAACTTTCACATGATCATTACTCTGAACTCTACCTCTGAAAACTTGCTTAATTGCATTTCATTTATCTCTTCTATAGAATTCTCTTGTTCTTTCACTTGGGATTTGTTTCTTTGGTTCATCATTTTGGCTGTCTCAGTGGGTTTTGGAGTCTGTCAAATTTCCCCTGTGGATGTTGGTCTTCTGAAAATTGTGGCTTCCTCTACTGGGTTTGGATGAGTGTGGGAGGCCCCACGTTAAATACCACCATCAAGTCTTACTTTCCTGGGTAGATTTGCAGGCCAATCAAAGGTTCAGTTTTCCTCTAGCTTTTGCCTGCTGGTTTTTAGTCTCAGTTATTTGATGAGCCCTCAGCTGAATGAAAAAATCCCTCAGGTGTTCAGGCTAAGAGGATTTCCAAAGGGTGGGGTGGATGCTTGCTGGTTATCTCTGGCTGTTAATGAGCCTCAATTTGCACTTCTCTGGCCTGGCCTGGTCGTATTAAGTTCCTGAGGGAGGGGAAGTTGCTTCTTCCAGGGCTCTGGGAAGGGGCTCTTTGAGTAATATGGCTACTGTTCTATGAGGGAGAGA